CCTCCTCCGCGACGGTGACCCCGTCGCGTACCGCCGCCTCGTCACCCGCGCCGTCTGCGCCGTCGAGCCCGCGCCGGCCGCGCCCCTGCCGCCGCGGTACACCCCAGGGAACGCCGGGCACTCACAGGGACAGGTTTCTTTATTTTCTATCCTTGCCCGTGTCGTGCCTGGGGTGGCTAGATTTCTCGTTTCGTTGTTGGGTATATATCTGAGGCTGCCGTTCGTTTGCCTGCATTGCTATGTACGCCTCAGCTCGTTCGGGAGACGATAAAGTGGATCTTGACGGATCGCTCCTGTAGAACCAAGAACGTCCTCTGCAATGGTATCCATCAGGTACGATGAATGCCATTTTTTATTGAAAGGCGGGGAATGATTTGTGGCATGTAAAAGAAATTGCCGCCACACGTTTTATTGTCTAGCATTGCCTTCCTATGCTTTACTATCCATTTTTCGCACTTCTCTAGAAACAAATTGTGAGCTGTTGTGAAAACTAGTGATGAAGGCTGTGTCACTTCAGTAGCATCTTCCTTCATGTAAGGGTTGTTGGTGCTGTGGATGTGTGGTATTGGCAGTCTGCAATTCGTGTAATCAGATTAGGTTCTTCAGTTGTGAAAATATACCATGTACTTTTGTGTACAAAGTTTTGTACTACTTTTCTTTGGCATCGACAACTTTGTAAGTGGCATCGTACGATGAGTGCATTTGATCTTAATGTTTGACCATCAATATATTTGTTGACATTTGTATTGGATATGTGAAAATGGTACGAGCTTTGTACCGATGTAAAACTTTTCAAAATTGTATATAAACCAGTAAACCCCATAACCGATCCTTGCTGCTCTATGTCCTCACTACATACGGAGCTTAATCTTAGTAGGTAAGGACAACCTTTACTTGGATTGGAAGGTTGACATGCTTGATCCCAGTGGCGAATCCAGGAAGACAAGGAAGGGTGGGCTCAAACTTAACAGCAAGAAACTAAGCATCATTTTAATTAAAGAGAAAAGGGCATTATCTCCTAATTCTTTTATCCAAATAAGCTAATATTTGCCAGAATGCTACTGAAAATATATGTATTATTACTGTCATCTTATGGTTTTCTGAAAATATCAAATTTTGAACGGAAATTTATGTCTGTCTAGCTAAATAGTCATTATCTCCAGTCCTTTCGCTCCAAACAAGCTGAAACTTTCTTAGATTACTACCAGAAACATGTAGTATTTGATAGATTTAAAAAATCATAATTTTCACCAAAATATGAATTCGTTAGCAAAATTAGCCATTATCACTTAATCCCTTTTCTTCAAATAAGCTCAAAATTAGCCAGATTACTATTGGAAACATGTAGTATTTACTATAGTTGTTCTGAAGTTTTTGAAAAGTATCAAATTGGATTATATATTTCATATTTTCCTACTTAAACAGACAAATATTGATATGTTTTTTTACAGCAAACAAATATTGATATACTTGTCTTGAGCCGTGGAGCGTGAGGGTCCGTCATCTCGCTATCATGTGTCCCTACTCGATATCCTGTGTGCTACTTGCGTGTGGGCTGTTGGAGTGTTGGTGCTGTTCGGCAGAGCATAAGATATTGGGTTGCTGGGCTGGGACGTGTAGTACTATTTTTTTTTTGTATTTTTGGAGGGTAGGCTAGAGCCGGTTGAAGCCCCCCTACTAGACTCGCCACTGCTTGATCCATTGGTACAATTATTTTTTGCTCTTTTTATATTTTTCATTAATGCTTTTAAATCTTTATGCTTACTAGGGTGGCCAGGCTAACCTTGTTTCTTCTTCATCCTGGAATATTCTCCTGCATAGAGTAAGTGTAAAGGAAATCCTTTTTCTTTGCTTAGTAAAGTTCCTCATATCCTTTGCTTGACAGAAACTTGTTGTCTTTCAGATTGGGGATCTTCTCATGTGCTATATTCTGAGGCATTCATCAGTCTTTTTGCCCATTAAAAAGAGTGATTACTTTCAGGTGACTGGTGTTCCACTCAACATTGTTCTGCACAAGCCTATATTTGCCAGTACCATGGCAAGAAAACAACAATCCAGATCTACAAAAGTCAAATGTCCTACGGTAAGAATTTATCTTCAGATCATGTGGCCCAGTGATTATTTATTTAGGTCCGTGTCTTGTTATGCCAACTTAAATCTTTGGTCCCAGTCTGGAAGCTCTTCAGGTTACAATTAATTTCAACCTGGCTATGACTCTCCATGCACACAAAAATACTACCTGTCTGGACTGGCACATGCACAGCGAAAACCATTCGGACATACTGCGATGCACTAGGGTTGATGACGGATAAATACCACCAGAAAGATAGCTATTGTTAGATGTGTATAGTCTCTTTTCGGTATATCCCCATTGTATAAGTGGTTTCCTGCACTTTACCACACATGTATATGTAATGGCCTTTGGCCCTCAGTAAAGATCAGTTGCTGTTTATCCAACATGGTATCAGATGTTAGGTTCCTCTCTCTCCCGCATGCCGCAACTCCGTGCTAGCTTCACTCTCGATTCCGGCCCTTCCTGTCGCGGATCCGGCTGCCCAGGCCCGGTAGCTGCCATCTCTTGCCCGGCCGGCCACCCCTCGTCACGGACCCCACTGTCTCCTCTTCGCCCCGCCCTCCCCAACTGCCAAGCTGCTTTGCCTCGTCGCCTGAAGCTTGTCCGGTGCCCCCTCGCGTCGTGGCCGGCCGCTCCCTCGCGCCTTCGCTGCTGACAGGCCAGGCCACTCGTCTCCTTCCCGTTGGCCCCGCTTCCTGCTGCTGTCGCTGGCCCCTGGCCTCTGCTCGCCTGGCCATGCGAGTAGGCGTGCGGGAGTGCGCGTGGGGGCTTCCTGCAAGCGGGCGCTCGATCCCTTTTGATCTCGATCGGGATTTGCTGTTCTCGTTGACTCCAAAAAAAAAGAGGCAGAAGCAGCAGAGAGACTTCCTCATGTCTTCTTCGGGCTATGTAGCTGTCCCTCAGTGCTCGATTCTCTTTGATGACACCAACTATGCTGAGTTTGCGGGCTTCATGCGTATCCATATGCGTGGTCTTCTGCTGTGGGGCGTTCTCTCTGGCGAGGTACCCTGTCCGCTCTGCCCTGTTGCTCCGGTGGCTCCTATCCCGCCAGTACCGCCGGTGCTTGCTGCTGATGCTTCTCAGGCTGATCAGGATGCAGCCAAGGCTCTTGATGATGCTGCAGTTGACGCTTATGATCAACAGGTATCCGCCTATTCTGATGCTCTTTCTGTCTACCGGTATGATCTGTCTGCTTACACTCAATGGTGCAATGATGATGCTCGAGCTGCTGCTGTTCTCACTACGAGTGTCCTCCCTCAGTTTGCTTCGGAGTTCATGGGCCTCGGCACTGTTGCAGCCATGTGGTCCTATCTTTGTCAGCGCTATCAGCCCTCTGGTGATGCTCTATACCTCTCTGTAGTGCGTCAGGAGCATGCTCTTCAGCAGGGTGACAGTTGTTTGTGGAACTTGCCGTTGCTGTCAGACTACGCGGTCTGACTTGGAGTTTTAGAGGGTTCATGAGTTCTTATCTCGTCTCTGCTTTGAGTTTGAGCCTCGACGTGCTCACTTGCTTGCTCGTGGTCGTGTTCCTCTCTCGGAGGTGCTTGCCGAGCTTCGTGCTGAGGAGACCCGCCTTCGCTCTGCGGGGTTGCTGGCGGTTCCGTCTGTGTTGGCTGCTCGGGCTCCTGTGTTGTCTGTTCGGCTCACTGCTCCACCGCTCCTACCTACACCTTCAGGGGGGTGGGGGGTGGGTCGCCCTCCTTATGCTAAGAAGGGCCGCTCGCGCCGTGACACCTTCTGTGGCTACTGCTCTCGGCCAGGTCACCCAGAGTTTGATTGCCGTGAGAAGAAGCGAGACCAGAGGCGCTCCTCTCCCAATGGGACTCCTGGATCTTCCTCGACTCCCTCACACACCGACCAGGACATTGTACGGCTTAAACGCCTTCTGGCTTCCTCTGGTTCATCACCGACTGGTCCTGCTGCTGTGACTGCTTCCACCACTTCATCACCGCCGGCATCTACACCGTCAGGTACATCTTCGTGGGTTATGGACTCTGGAGCTTCCTTTCATATGTCCTTTAATTCTCCAGCTTTGTCCTCTCTTTGCCCTCTTGATTCTCCTATTAATGTTCTTACTACCGATGGCACATCTCTTCCTGTTGCTAGTCGTGGTATTCTTTCCACTTCATCCTTTTCTGTTCCTGGTGTTTCACATGTTCCTCGCCTTACCATGAATCTTTTTTCCGCTGCCCAACTTACTGATTCTGGTTGTCGGGTCATTCTTGATACCGATTCTTGCTCCATTCAGGATCGTTGCACCAAGGTTTTGGTTGGTGCTGGCCCCTGACGCCGTGAGTCCGAGGGTCTTTGGGAAGTTGACTGGCTCTGTGTTCCTTCCGCTGCCACCACTTCAGTCAGCTCTCATGCTCTTGCTGCCTTTTCGTTTGCGTCCTTCCAGCAGTGGCATCATCGCCTTGGTTACATATGTGGCTCTCGCTTGTCTTCCTTAGTGCGTCAGGGCCTCTTAGGGTCTGTATTTGGAGATGTTTCTTTACCTTGTAATGGTTGTAGACTTGGCAAACATACCCAGTTACCTTATCCTACCAGTCAGTCGGTATCTCAGCATTCTTTTGACTTAGTTCATTCTGATGTCTGGGGTCCAGCCCCCTTTGATTCGAAAGGTGGTCATCGCTACTATGTTTTGTCTATTGATGATTTCTCTCACTACACTTGGCTCTACTTCATGAAATCTCGTAGCGAGGTTCTCTCTATATATAAACAATTTGCTGCCATGGTTCACACCCAGTTTTCCACGCCTATTCGTACTTTTCGTGCTGACTCCGCTGGAGAGTATATCTCCCAGCTGTTGTGTGGCTTTCTCGCAGAACAGGGTACCCTTGCCCAGTTCTCCTGTCCTGGTGCTCATGCTCAGAATGGTGTTGCTGAACGTAAGCATCGTCATCTGCTTGAGACGGCTCGTGCGCTGATGATTGCCGCCTCCCTTCTACCCCATTTTTGGGCTGAGGCTGTTTCTGCATCCACCTATCTCATCAACATTCAGCCATCGACTGCTTTGCAGGATGGTATTCCTATGGAGTGTCTCTCTGGTCGCTCTCCAGACTACTCAACTCTTTATATGTTTGGATGTGTGTGCTATGCCCTTCTTGCCCCACACGAGCGCACCAAACTGACTGCTCAGTCGGTTGAGTGTGTTTTCCTTGGCTACAGTAATGAGCACAAGGGCTATCGCTGTTGGGACCCTGTTGGTCGTCGCTTGCGCATCTCGTGTGATGTGACCTTTGATGAGCCTCGCTCTTACTACCCACGTCCTTCTTCCTCGAGCTTCTCTGTGGACGATATTTCTTTTCTTCTCCTTCCCGATACACCCTGCTATGTGCCTCATGTTTCACCTCTTCTTCCTACACCTCTCATTCATTCTCATTCACCACCGACGCCATCTTCTCCATCCTCCTCCTCCACCTCTACACCATCATCTCCAGTCCGTCGCCCTCTCTCACCGTTTCCTCTCCACTATGCTCGCTGTCCTCGTACTGAGGATGCTTTCCCTGACGCGCCTGACGCACCTTCCACCTCTGGTGCACCTCCGTTCACGCCTAACCCGGTTCATAACCTCCGTGCTCGGCCTCGCCCTCCGCCTGATCGCTATTCTCCTAATTGGTACGGTCTCTCTGTTATTGCTGAGCCCACTTCCTATCGGACTGCCATGACTCAGCCTGAATGGCAGCTTGCGATGGCCGAAGAGCTTGCTGCCCTTGAGCGCTCTGGCACATGGGATCTGTTTCCCTCCCTTCCGGTGTTCGTCCCATCACCTGCAAGTGGGTCTACAAGATCAAGACCCGCTTCGATGGTTCTCTTGAGCGTTACAAAGCTCGTCTTGTGGCCCGTGGTTTTCAGCAGGAGCAGGGCCGTGATTATGATGAGACATTCGCTCCTATCGCCCACATGACCACTGTCCGCACTCTCCTTGCTGTGGCTTCTGTTCGTCATTGGTCTATCTCTCAACTTGATGTCCAGAACGCTTTTCTTAATGGCGAGTTGCGTGAGGAGGTTTATATGCAGCCACCACCGGGGTGCTATGCTCTTGATGGTATGGTCTGTAGACTTCGTCGCTCCCTCTATGGTCTTAAACAGGCCCCTCGCGCCTGGTTTGAGCGCTTTGCCTCTGTGGTGACTGCCGCTGGTTTCTTGCCCAGTGATCATGATCCCGCGTTGTTTGTTCACACGTCTCCTCGCGGTCGGACTCTTCTCCTTCTCTATGTTGATGACATGATCATCACTGGTGAGGACTCTGAGTACATTGCCTTTGTTAAGGCTCGCCTTCACGACCAGTTCCTCATGACTGATCTTGGTCCACTTCGCTATTTTCTTGGGATTCAGATCTCCTCGATCTCTGATGGCTTCTACGTCTCCCAAGAAAAATATATTCCGGATCTTCTTGCTCGCGCTGCTCTCGGTGATGAGCGCACTGTTGTGACTCCTATGGAGCTCAACGTTCAGCTTTGTGCCTCTGATGGCGACCCTCTTCCTAATCCCACTCGGTATCATCACCTCGTTGGCAGCCTTGTCTATCTTGCTGTTACGCGTCCTGACATCTCCTATCCTGTCCACATCCTGAGTCAGTTTGTTTCAGCCCCCACCCCTGTCCACTATAGTCACCTCCTCTGTGTTCTACGATATCTTCGTGGCACGATCTCTCAGCGCCTTTTCTTTCCCCGCTCCAGCACTCTTGAGCTCCAGGCCTACTCTGATGCTACCTGGGCTAGTGATCCCTTTGATCGACGCTCGCCTCTGCTTATTGTGTCTTTCTTGGTGGCTCTCTTATTGCCTGGAAGACAAAGAAACAGACGGCGAGTACAGAGGCTGAGCTGCGAGCCATGGCTATGTTGACAGCCGAGGTGATCTGGTTACGGTGGTTACTTGAGGATTTTGGTGTGTTTGCTACTACCTCGACTCCCTTACTGTCAGACAGTACCGGTGCTATCAGTATTGCGCGTGATCCGGTGAAGCATGAGCTCACCAAGCACATCGGTGTGGATGCCCACTTTGTGCGTGCTGCTGTGCAGGATCAGACTCTCGCTCTTCACTATGTGCCCTCTGAGTTACAGTTGGCTGACATCTTCATGAAGGCACAGACTCGAGCGCAGCATGGCTTTCTCCTCTCCAAACTCAGTGTTGTTGATCCACCATGAGTTTGAGGGGTGTGTGTTAGATGTGTATAGTCTCTTTTCGGTATATCCCCATTGTATAAGGGGTTTCCTGCACTTCACCGCACATGTATATGTAATGGCCTTTGGCCCTTAGTAAAGGTCAGTTGCTGTTTATCCAACAGCTATAACGGCCCGTCTGCAAGGAGATAGGAGAGATCAGAGACTGGGATGATGTAGGAGACTAGTAATTAATTTATATTGTTCTTGCTTGATTAATTCATCAAAAGCTCCTCTCTATATAGAGGCCTATCAACTCAAACTATGTCAGATGAGTATATATGGACATATTAATAAAAAAAAATTCAATTCTAATGGTGGATCTTATCCCTTAATCGAAACCGGCTATGGGTGGATCTTATCATAAAAAGCACCTGGTTACTAACCCAAATGACATTATAAACTTTATTTTACTGATGTTCTGCCATGGAAATAAGGCTCCTCACGCAGATTCAGGTTTTCAATAGCCGAGAGAATCTTCCATTTTTCCATTCCAAACAAGTCTCTACATACATGCTATTACGTTGGGGATGGAAAACAGCGTTGCATTAGTATTACTCTTAATAGTTTGACTTTTCTTTATGTGGTGTAAACAATTGGTAGTTTACTCTGGTTTGTTTTATAGCTGCATTTAAAAAGTAAACAAACTGATTAAGCATTTGAATACAAATAATCAAGATGGCAGCACCCAGTTTGTTGTAGAATTCATTACCATGTCCCGAGTTTTCTTCAACCAGGAATTGGCTTTCTTGATAATGTTCTTTGATACTACATGCTTAAAATGTCTTGATGACCTCATTGTCGAATGTTCTTTTATCAAACAAGCACACTGTGAATGCTATGGTATATTTTTTCTAATAAACTGATCGGATACTGCATGTCTTTTGATCTCAGTGCCACGTGTTGCGTAATGCAAAGATGAAACTAAACATAACTGGAGGCAATCGTGGCAACAGTTCAGACTCTGCGTTTTACTGTTCAGATAACACTCAGAGATATGATGCTCTACAAAGTTCTGGAAGTTGTGATGCTGAAAGAGTTATAAAGCCTAATTGTCCAAGTGATGGATGTAACTGTTCCAATTGCTTTACCCGGAAGCCTAGGAAAAGAAAAAGATTGTACAGCTGGCAGCGCCGCAGTAAGCAGAAGCAGTTCTGTAACGAAGATAAGTTGACAGAGTTAAGTAAATTAAACGACAGTTATTACACTCTGTGTAATCTCTTATCAGATGGCTCAGCTGCTGGAGTGAATGGTCAAACACACTCCTTGAAGCATACTGCAGATAACATTTCTATTGGAATGAACAATGGTGAATTTGTTTCACAAACTGAAGAGCCATGCAATGTACCTGTCCTGTCATTAAAGAAGTCACCTAGCTCTGTGTTAGATACTAGTCCTTCCCAGGATCTATTGTGTGGTTACGGTAAATCAGGAGTCCAATGTACAAGTCCCAAAGTAGGACCCTCCAGCTACCCACAACTGAATGTCAGTTCCTTCCCAATCTCCTGTTATTTGTTATTACCGTTTCTTTTGTGCTTACACTCAAGTTCTGTCTACCTGCCTAAATCATTAGTTATTCCATTCATTTTGATTTTTGACTACTGTTGTAACGTTATAGTCTCCAAGTTATATAGTAGTGTCAAAAGCAATAACTTGGATGAGAGGAAAATAGAAGATGCGAATATTGACACTTGAAGATTTTCCACTTAGCGCCTCACCGACATGCTGATCCTAGGGTCATGTTGGTGAGACAATGGAATGATAAATCCTCAATAGCACCTCTTTGCATTGTCAAACTGCATAATTTACTAGCATGTGGTAAAAAGTAGACCAGAAAACCGTATCTTTATAATGTTATTAAAAAATTTCAATTCTAATGGTGGATCTTATCCCTCAAATGGTCAAGCCATCTCAGATGGTGTTGGACAAGCTTCCCTATTGGTAAATGTGTGCGGGGCTGCTTATATGAGTGCTGCCGCATGCCCCCCCTAGGGACAGTGACTGTATAGCCAAGTCAGCCAGGATATCTATCTAATTAGATTGATTAGCTTGAGTTTGTTTCCCAAGTATTTAGCTGCTTGCCATGTCCTGATGAATTGATTCATGTTTTTTAGTCTCTAAAGAGAGGCCACCATTGTGTTTTGATCAATAATACCGAAAGGGATGTTAAACTCTAGAGCTACAGCATTAGTCACTGGTATACATTACCTCTCCAGTCACCACCAAAGGCGAATACTGTATGCCCATGCGGTGGAAATCGCCAAAACTGCAACCTACTAAGTGCAGCATGTGACTCTTTTTTTGCGATTTTTGTGGACATTGCTACTGCTGTTTGATAATGGGCTTTGTGTGTTTCTACTTGGAGTGTTCTTGAAATTCAGCAGCACTGATCAATTGGCTTGCTACACAACCACTTGCAGTTTTTATGTTGCTGTTGACCTGTTGTTTCCTCAACATATTTTTTTTACTTGCAGAGTGGTTCCATCTGTTTCAATTGCTTAATGTTGAATGCTTCGAAATGTGTGTCAGTAGATTCTTTGATACCAAGACAGGCCATTTTCTATAACAAAGAAATATCTGAGAATATCTTCCATCGCAGCAGTATCCTTTTGCTATTTAGTACCTGTCAAAGCTCGAAGTGTGTCAATCTCTTGAAATGGTACCCTGCAATTATTGTCAACAGAATAGTTCTAAAGTTGCAGTAAGTGGAGAACGAAACCTACTCTCAGTTTTCTTGTCTTTCTTGTTGGGGGACTATCGGTGGAGGTGAGCAAGGTTCTGTGCGGAAGTGATAAGATAATTGGTGACTTACATAGCAACGTGGGATATTTTTTGGAGCTTTTGTTCCATATGTATGTCACTCGGTGTACTCTGTCACAGTATGTTGGCACCCTTCCCTGGATAATTTTGCCATGTATCTCGTATGGTGTACTCACAGTAACGTTTTCCTAGTTACCATTGACCACATCATCTGATTTACAAACGTTCAACCATATTGTAAATAAAATATACCGTTCCTATTTTGATAGAGATGTGTATCTGAATATATTTTCATGAAATTTTGTAGATTGAACTAACATCTAGTTGCAAATTTTCGTTATCTACTATGCTACTCGGAGGAAACTTCCGAATTGTTTCAAATAACTTGTAAATAGTTTACATTAATCAGTTTCTTAGTCTTCCCTTCAAATGATATGCATGAATGTGTGATATATGAAAAACCAAAATCAGTTCATTCCAGGCTAATTTCTTCTGCTAAAAAGGTCTCGTGGATATTATTTCGGAGCTCTGGTATGTGTTTGGTTTGTTTTATGTTAATACTTCTTTTGTTGCATGTGTTTCCTCTGTATTTTATACTTACTCTTTTGAGGACCTACATTTTACAAGATGTTACATGATGGAAAAAACGTAAAGCACTAGATTGTTGAAATGCTGACATTTGGAGGTTCATAGGTGATACTCGGCAAATCTTACCGTGTATTTGTATGTATGCTGTATATATTATTTGTCATAGTATCTTCTGCAAACTTTCCTTAATACTGTTAGACTTGACAAATAAAAGGAAAGGACCAGACGCACTGTCTTTATTAAAGCGCATATTTGGAATCAAGGAATGCTGCATAAAGTTCTTCCAATGTGATTGCCATGGATCTTCCAGACCAAATTCTAATTGCCTGTGAGTCAACAAATTTAATTTGTATTAATATTGCCACTAGCCAGCGTGTCATTTCAGCATTTTGCATAACTTTGCACATAAGCTTTAGACTGCACGTGAGGATATCAATTTCACCTTCCTCTGTCAAACACATGCTACTACTGAACACGTCTGTTTGAGATACCATTACTTCATATTTTATTATCTAAATTACTAATCCAAAGTAATGACAATATATTAGTGGCCTACTGCCAGGCGAATAAAGTATCTTAAAGGTTTAAATTTGTCACCATTGGATGAGGAGGTGTGTCATAACACAATTTTGTTTGTTTATTAACAGGAAAGATTGGATCAGTTTTCCTCTATTGCAATAAGATACATGTAAACATTTATGCGGGCCTTTATATCTTGTGCTAAAGGGCATATGGAGATATATACATTATACACTACTCCTTAAAAATGTCTCCGTATTTTTGCTCCGTTCCCATCCTTTTTTAGTCACACATGTTAACCTTATGTAAGCCACTGCAAATGCATTAATGGAGGCCATGATATCGTTATTCTGAAGATATTACTTTCTCGCCCGTTGTCACACTTATGCAGGATAATATGTTCATCACTTCATCTTTTTGATTTTTTATCTATCTGGCTCTATTATTGTAAGTGGTTAATGTTCCTGTTACCAGGTATCATTGGATGCTTCAACTAGTGAAAAATCTCGTAAGGAATTCTAAACGCTGCCAGTACAAGAAACTATTTCTGAAGCATTGTTCTGTTAAGTCTAAGGTACTTTTGAACAATTAAACCACTTTTGAGTACTATTACTAAGAATCAAACAATAAAATAGTCTATGGCTATTTTGCCTTCTCTTATCCTTTTGTCTGAACTATCCTATAGTTATTTGCTTTAAGTGTTGAAATTATAGGGCTTGTTTTTGTTGCTTTCTACAGTTCGCCACAATCTAGTGTCAAGTGTGGCAAGCTACGTCCCACTGTCACTGGTTCAGCATAATTGATTCTGCTTATATACTTTGAGTCTTAGAGAGGAGAAACACCCCGCTCCTACTTTTCATCTGGTTAGAATAGGGAAAAAATGTTTTTGTTAGGGCATGACTTACTGGCCTCTTAACTGCTATGCTGGTGAAACATGCAGCATTATGTATGCGTTTGGATGTTTCATTCTACACAGGCTGGTATATTGTTTACTTGGTCGAAATGGCACAAATGTATTAATGTGAAACTAGAAGAATGATGCCATATTCTCTTTTAATACAAAGCAGGTGGCAAAAGATGGGCTCCCTTCAGGCAACATACAATATTCAACAGGAGGAAAATCAGCATATTGTGGTGAATCTTTTGCTCAGTTGGAAGCTTACAGTACACATCAGCAAGTAGTATCCTTTGTCTGGGCAGTGTTGACACGGATCATACCACAGCCTTTGTTAGGGAATCCTTCTAGTAAGAGATCCTTAAGGATGAACCTTTGGAAGTTTATAAGGTTACGCAGGTTTGAAACATTTCAAGTAACTGATTGTATTTGTGAGTTGAAAGCACCAGAATATTCTTGGCTATCAAAAATTGGATTCACTAGTTGCTTTTGTTCTGTACTACTTGGAGAAGAGACTGGGCTGTCAAATGGTACAGAGGAGCAGAAACAGAACAATCTCTTGCATTGTTGGATTAGCTGGTTATTTTCTGACATTGTGATCCCATTGATCAGTACATACTTTTATGTTACAGAAAGAGAAACAAAGCGATATGATGTTTTCTATTATCCAAAGTCAGTGTGGAGGAACCTAACTAGCAATACTATTGCTTCCTTAAATGCGCAGAGCTTCAAGATTTTGCGTCGTACATCGAGGAGAGCAATAAAACATTTGTACCGTTCTTCAAGAGTGAGATTTCTTCCAAAAGCAAAAGATATCAGACCATTAGTAAATTTTAAATCTCAGTCAAAGGATGGTATTCTCAACAAGTGTCATTTAGTTATTAAAAAATTAAGGGATGATAACCCAGAGATGTTTGGTTCTTCTGTTTTTGATTATGATGGTGTTTACAAAAATCTTTCCAGTTTTATGTCTTCAGTAAGAAGACAGTTGAAAGAGTCAAAGATATATATTGTGGTTGCTGATGTATCTAAGGCATTTGATTGTGTTAATCATGACGTGCTACTGAAAATTATGGATGATGTTCTGAAAGGTGATGAGTATGCCTTGAGAAAATGTACCAAAGTAATTTACAGTAGGTCTAAGAATGTGGCTTATCGCTTTGATTCAAATGTAGTCGTCAGCGACGGAAACGGTATTAACGATTTCTCAATTCAGCGGTCATCAGGTGGTGGCATTCTAGTTGATCAGGTACTGTATCAGAGCTTATTTCATTTGTTCTGGTGTTTGACTTGTTACTGAACGTGACTGATGTTAAGTACTCCCTCCGTCCCAAAATAAGTGTCTCAAGCTTAGTGCAACTTTGTACTGAAGTTAGTACAAAGTGAGACACTTATTTTGGGACGGAGGGAGTATATGTAACAACCACTTGAATATGCAAATGCTTGCCACTAAAGGCGAAAGCTACTGAAATCATAATGTTTTGCCTATACCATTTAGTTAGGGGGTCAGCTTTGCATTTCCACCTTCATGTCTATGGAAGTCTAATGCAAAAATAGAAGTTCTTCACAGGACCTACTAATTATGGAACATAAATAATAAAATGTAGCGATGTTATATATTCTGGCACATACTTCTGGGGTGAGTTCTTTAATGTAAATATGTAATCCATCTGGTAAGTAAAGCTGTGATCACACAATTGCATTGATGTATGATGTATGTACACAATCTTTGCTTCTAAAAGGGTTTACACATCCATGTTCAGAAAATCACTTTGGAACTTCTTGAGCAATCAGATTTCTAGTATATCTGCATAGGTCACATTTGTCATCTGGTCTGTTAACCTAATACACGAACATATCAGATTAGGTGTCTTGCCTTTGTGAGGACGGTGAACGATGAGCTTATTTTTCAAATTTGACCGATTTTTTGGCAGATAATTGCCATGTTCTGTCCTCTACCAAGATATGCAAGTTTCATGAAATTTGATTGAAGTTTCACCACAGTTAAAATCCATGGTCCATTAGCTGAGAGAAGGGCTAAGGGAGTAGAAAGTGATTTTGGAACATGTTTTCAGTTTTTGCTTGCCCATGCTGTTGCTCTATCTTTTTTGACAATCTGTTTGCTTCCAATTGTTTGTTTCTCACACAGAATACAAGTATTGACCAACCGAATATCTTAAAGCTCTACCTTTTTTGAAATCAGGGAACTGTTAGTACAATTCGGAAGGAAGAGCTTCAACGTGTCCTTTTCGAACAAGTCAAGTGCAATATTCTGAAGATTGGGCAAACATTTTACTTGCAGCAAGTAGGGATTGCTCAAGGAAACAAGTTATCCCCTAACCTTTGTTCCCTATACTATGGTCACCTTGAGAATTCTGTGATATTGAATTTTCTGCATGATGGAAATTCAGGAGATGCTATTTCAGAACCGGAATTTTTAATGATGAGGTTCATTGATGACTTCATGTTTATCTCTCTCTCAAAGAAGCATGCTTTGAATTTCTTTAATAGGATGAGAAGAGGTTTTGTGTACTACAATACTTACATGAATGACAGCAAATATGGTTATAATTTCAACATTGGAGATAACGAGCAGTGTGATAATAGGCTCTACATGGGCGATGATGGAGTCACTTTCATACCATGGAGTGGTTTGCTTATAAACTGTGAAAATTTAGAAATTCAAGCTGATTATACAAGGTATGTCTGTCAGTTTCTAGTTTTAGTTTGTTGATTCAGTTCATCAATATTGAGATCATCTTCAGTGATACAGAACATGGATCTAGGACGGTTGACCTGTTTATAACCCTGAGAAATACATTGACCACCGCTGTGGTTCTGCCATCTTTTTGTTGAAACCCGGATTAATCATTTTTGTGTATTTCTTTTAAACCACAGGCAATTACATAAGTTGAAATGTTGATACAAGATTCTCCTGAATTTTTGTCTATTTTTAGAAGCTTGTTGAAAACTTACAGTAGAGCACACGAGCTCCAGTGCTTCTGTTAGCAAAATTTTGTAAATTTAACAAAGGTGTCCGTTTGCTTTATTGCCTAATTTGGCAGTGTTCGTCTTACTGGTTCTCCAGTGATCCAGTCCAAACTAATTTTCCTAATAAAAAACTGTTGAAGAACTAGTAATGAGTATGCACATTTCTCAAACAGGTATTTAGGCATTACAATCATCTCCACGATCACTGTGAAGATGCATTCTTCCATGAAGTACCTTCGCAGCAAGCTATGCCATTACATGCGTCCGAAGTGCCATCCCATTTTCTATGACTCCAATATCAACTCACTGGGCACTGTAAGACTGAATATATATCAAGCCTTCCTGTTATGCGCAATGAAGTTTCATTGCTATATGCGGAGCATGCCTTATTCCAGCATAAGCAAACCCGAGTTGCTGCATGTCATTAAGAAGACCTTCAGGTATTACATTTCTCTTGACATTTATATTTGTGATAAAAAACTACGCTGAAGTGCTTTATGTTTACTATCTATCCACTTATTTCATCAAACAAGGTATAACTTTCTAATCCCTTCTTCCGTTGAATAGATACATGCATAGTCTGATTGTCAGCCGTATGCAAGATATGGAGCTGCAATCCAATGTGCGCCCAGTTCTAAAGCTAAGACGCAAAGAAACCAATTGGCTTGGACTATCTGCCTACATCCGCGTGCTTCAAAAGAAACAATCTCGTTACAAGGATTTGTTGGCGTTGTTGATAGCAGAGGCTGAGGGTTATGGTCATATGGACCGTGATTCTGACAGTTTGTGCTATGCTGTGGATGATTCTCACTCGTCAATGTTCTGGAAGTTCAAATATTAGAAGGAAACTCGAGGGGCCTGAGTATTGCAGAGAACTCTTATTTTGTGGGTACAGTTTTAGCAGGATTTGGCTTATATACAGCTCTACCTGCCATATCATCAGGTAGAAAGGGTGAAAACTAGTTGCTTCCGGAATGGCAGTAACATTCATCATGTTTGCGCCAAGCTTTCACTTCATAGTCTTATTGCAGCATTTTATATGTTCCTATATCTGATCCCATGTGTCTGATTAGCTGCTAAATTCATTAACAAACAAGCATCATAGCTCTACATCACATTTTACTTTAGTCATTAATCTTTTGTGCGTTTTTTATGAACAGATGGTTAAATGTCAAAGAACATCATTGAATGATTCCTATTATAGAAGCCTTGATGAGCAAACGATAGTAGTAGTCATTTTTTCTTGATGGTCACTCAGCTGGTTGTTTCAGACTATTCAATCAAAGTTAGCACAAAGTTAAGTCACTTATTTTGGGACGGAGGGGGTACATGCTATGACTATTGACACTAAATCTTGACTCATACTCCGTCCGTCCAAAATAAGTGTCTCAACTTTGTACAAACTTTAATACAAATTTGTACTAAAGCTGAGACACTTATTTTGGGACGGAGGGAGTATGCAATTAGTACTAGGAACTTGCTTTGTTTTAAAACTGGAGTTTCTTTCTAGAAAAGTATTCATCAAATGAGATCTAGTTTTGATGAGCCCATCGTGGAAACCTAATGGTGAAAGTAAATCGTGATTCTAACGTTTGATTCCAAGTTGTAGCTCTTCATAATGGAATCAGTTGCTGGTGATGGGAAATGACCACACACGGAGGAGTATATAAGATATTCTTTCTAGGAAACAAACACAAGTTCACTTGTTAGAAACTATGAGCAAATTCTATGCGCATAATTTATTAATTCGTGTGGGCTATTTATAAGTCACCTGAAAATTTCTTTTTGCAACTCACTTTTTTTACTTACCTTTAATCTTTTTTTTTC